TGTCATGTTAAACTTATATTAAAGTTTTTCTTCATTACCCATTTAAGCCGTCTCCAGCCGATATTTAACTAAGTTAATTTTCATGAAACCTTTTATTATTTGTTTCATAGTCATTTATCTTATTTGTATTTGTTACCTAAACGTATGTCTCATGCGCTATGCGAAAATAATTTTTGGTTAAAACTCAGTTATCAAATCAACTGTTAATTTCAATAGTATAATAATTTTTACGACAACAACTGAAAAATAAAGTAACAATATGGCTCAATGCATTTGAAAATCTTGATGTCGCTTTAAGTTCGGTCGGCAACTGACATGCGCATTAAGCTTCACGTGTGGCGTAATGGCGGCCTTCGTGCGACATGAAATCTCCCCTTGCGTTTTATCTCCAAATGGAGAATATTTTGCTTATAGAACTCCAGATGGAAGCTTAAAGATTTGGGAAACAACCACTGGAACATTGAAGCAAGAATATACCCCAAGTTCGCATCTTTCTACTACTTGTACTTGTATGACATGGGGTCCAGTTCGGCATGGCTTTGTAAGTTTTACACACAAAAAGCTTAATTGCGTTAATAGCAATTTTGCTTAAACTTAGATTAAAATGTAGATTTTCGCTGTGACATATTCTGTTAAGAATTGAATTCTAATTTAATGCTAAAGAGTTTTTGTTGTACTACGTAAGTAAAAAGTTGTTATTGAGGCTTAAAGTTAAACAAAGACATCTGACATTGAAATATGTACTGTAGTTAAAGTTATAATGTACAAAATTATCATTATGAGTGTATTTTATGTTAGGAGTTTTTCCATCTTTTTTATGTGCAGCATGTCATATTGGTCCAGTCAGTGCTTCAGTCGTGCCAGTATGGCAGTGTGCCACCAAATTCTCTTTTAGTTCTACACATAGGATTTCCCACCATTAGGTCAGAATATGCCAAACTCTGTCCCTGTTCTTCTTGATTTTAAAGTAAAAATAGAGTATAAATGAGCTAATCTATCCAAAGGGCTTATGTAAAGGAAATATTACGTGCTTTATTATAATTATGCTAGGCATATCGTACTTCTTTTTTTTTTTTTTTTGTTAGCACACATTTATTCTCATTTGTGCCATATACATATTATGATTAATAGGATGAGATTTGGTAACACACTATTTGTATTTCAAAACTGGTAAGATAACCATGAAACTTTTTCATTTTTCTTACATTTTATCTTTATATTACAATGAAACACATTCTAATAATTTATTCATTAATTTACACCTGATACATATGGGTGAGCCTGTTCCTATAACTTGAACATGGTTGTTACATTCATAAACCAACTAAATAATAAATTCTAGTCCATTTACATTTTATCAAATGGTCATCTTCTCCACTATTCACTTCAAAATGGAAATTTATAACTTTCAGTAGCTCTACAATCTATGCCAATAGTATTTTTTGAATGAAACCTGTATACAGTTATTCACAGGTGCTTAGTTAAAACTTATAATTAATAGAAATGCAGCAAGTGATAGGGCATGCTATATATTATTACAGAATTAGTCATCCATCAAATATGTTATGCATAATATAAGTAACTGTTTATGTATCCAATTGAACACTAAACCTTGTCCATGTGATATCAAAGAAATTATCTTGCCTTCAGAGACATTTCTGACTTTGGATATTTGTTAGGATTTTAGAAGAAATATGCTGGATTTTTTCTAGAGTAAACTGCAATTTTATATTGAAACTAGAAATAAAATCTTACCAAGTCATTAGTTCAGGTTTTTTTTAGTTAAACATAAAATCCTTGTTGTGCCAGCTAGTTTTATAAATAAATTCAGTCCTGTTGCTAAAAAATTAACCTATTTTTTTAATAAAATTAAAGTTTGTCTGTGGTAATTAGAATATACCGAGTTATTGTTTTTTCTCCTTCCTTCTTGATTAAGACAAACTTCCATTTTGTATATAATTGCTGAAAATGGTAGTTTATGATATTTTTTTAGTAAAACTAGGGAAAAAAAGGTTGAAATTGTACAATTAAATAAAATGACTGTAACTTAAACAGTTTGTACATGTAATACCATTAGTTTTTTTTAGTTTTATTGGAACTTTAATGTAAATATAAATTTATTTTGTTTACTTACAGTCTTCTCCAAAAAAGAAAAAACGTAAAAATGCAGAGGATAACAGAGAAGCTGTGAAGAATTTAGATTTAATTGCCCTGGGAACAGCTTCTGGAAATATTTTGCTTTATAGTGTATTACATGGAGACCTGTACTCTCAGTTGGTAAGTATAACTACAATTTAATCATAGAAGACCATTAAGATGGTTATTATTGATTTTTAGTTACTGTTACTGTAGTTAACTATACATAAGAAACTGGAGCCACATTGAATAGCGGCAGAGTATATAAGTTGCTGGACATTATTGTTTCTAAAAAATGCCACTGTTACTCTCAAGATGAATCTTATGAAAGCCATATAGAAATCTCCAAATGCTAAAACTCGTAATTGACATGAGAAACCTCGATTTCTTTGTTTTGTGATTGTGTTACCACATGACCAGTCATGCTGTCATGGCATTTGACACTCAGTGTCATCTAATTGGCCAACGAAAGGATACTACACCATTTTAAATGGGCATAATGGGTATTATCTGTATAGACACACACGCAAAAAAAAAAAGAAGAGAAAAGTTGTTGATCGACAAGCCCATTAATCTCTTAAATTTTGATTAATTGATTAGTACAATATTTCTAAAGACATGGTACATGGCCCTCTTTTAAAAAAAAGTAGCCCAACAATTGACAGTTGCAGTTGCCAACCACTTACCTGTCCTCTAGTCAGTAGTTAATAGTTAGTGACAGTGGCCTTAACAGCTATGGGTATAATTAAAAAACAACTGTAGGCATATTGGACTTAGGTATGTGCTCTCCAAGTGTCAAAGCAATCAGCCCAGAAATAAAGGAATGATGCACAATTGTAATTGTTAGAAATACAAAGAAAGAAACTTAAGTCTACTTCTCTGTGGGAGAAGACATAAAACTATTTACTATGTTTTTTGGTTAATTTTTTTTTTTAATTGTTATTTATTGGACACATTATTTATGATTAAAACCAAGATAAATTTGAATATATGTAAAACTGTTCATCAAACATTTGATTTTTTAGTGCAATTATGAAAGCTAAAGATCAGACAAGTAACCTTATTTATATTTTTGAGGCCATTAACATTTGCAAATTTCCATTTCAATTATTTATTTTTTCTTTAAAGTGGCTATTCTAGTTATAAAATTCCTTTTTGTAGATAACTAGTAATTATGATCAGAAATATGGGTATGTGAAGCTTGTTGATTTAAAAAACAACTTTAAAATGGGAAATCTAATGAGTGAATGGTTTTGGTTCTTTGTTGCATTTTGCAACTTATTCATTACTGTATATATATATATATGTATATAGGATGGAGGCCATAGTGATACAGTTAATGATGTCAGTTGGCAAGTGGAATCAGATTCTATCTTCAGCTGTTCAAGTGATCAGCATATAATCCAGTGGAGCATATCTTCATGTAAAATCAGACAGTTAGTGATTTTGTTGTAGTTTTTCTTTTTTTCCAGAAAAAAAATTATCATGGGTTGGTAATGTTGCTGTGATATGATCTTTTAGGAGTATATAGCTGAATTAAGAATCAGTGTTGGTTATTTGACCAGTCAAATACTTTATTACTTGTTCTATATTATAACTGCATATATTGAATTTTACTATATGTAATGTAAATTATATAAAATGAAAGGAAGAAACTGTTCATTCTCTTTTCTCCAGCCTTCTAACAACAAAGCCAGTGCTGCTATTTTGATATTGTGTATTGTAACTAAATAATGTTACCAGCCATTATACCAAATAACTTTTTTTAATAATATGCTGTTATTATGAAGTTGCATTGCAAGTTGAAAAAAAATCTTAGCTATTGACTCCATAAAATTGAAGGATATTATAATACAACATAGTTTAACATCACTCGCCTATGAAGGTTTCGACGGGTGAACAACAGAGACTCGTTAAACTCATGCATTGTATTATACTAATATAAAATATGTAAAAAGGTGTGAAATATTAGGCTATGATACAATTAAATACACATTTTTATTGTTTGAGTTGAATGCTGCCATTTTAGAGTTTGTTAGTAGAGGTGTAGTTTCAAGGCTTGCCTAGAAGTAGAGGGAGGGGAGGTTTGGGGCTTAAAAATTGATACTAAAAACCTCAGCTAATATATGGGTGTTTATGGTAATTTAACATAGGTTTTGGCTCACCAAGCAGAAGTAGTCCGTTGTTAAGAATATCGAGATAAGTGTGCAGAAGTAGCTAGTGTATAATTCTGTAATGTATAAGTAACTAGCAAACTTACTATATATTAGAGCTGTTTTTCATTAAATATGATTAAAGTTGATTTTAAAATATGAGCCAGTCTAATTATTAAAACAGATAATTCTTTATGCATCCTGATATTTTGCTATTTCCTGATCTAATTACTCATTTGAACTTGACTGATTGAAACTTTTCAAGATTTCTCAGAGATGTACCACACACCTTCTCATGGGGAGTATTGTATCTTGTTCTTAAACCCTATACATTTAAAACCAATTATTTTTGAAAATAATAATTAACAGCAGAGAAAATTAGTAATTTACGAATGACATTCCAGTATACTAACAGTGCTTCAGCTAGGATAAAAAGGAGCAGGGTGCTAACTTTGAATAAGGGTATATTCAACATGGAAAACAAACTTAAGAGGACACAAATTAGAAATGTAAAACTTGAAAGAATGCTACTATTGAAAATATCTCGCTTTATATAATTATGAATCAGCTCACGTAATATAGATTTGTGAATGATTGTATACTTTATACAATCTGTTCCTGATCACCTTCCCTGTCTTATCCATGTGGTTTGATATTTAGCCCATATTGCTCTTTTTGAGGTTCACACTCCCATCTACTTATTCTTTGGAATTCCTCCTCTACCAAACATATTTTTCCTATTACCTTCGTGAGATGGCTTTGTCAACTCTTTTGTTTGGCCTATACCTTATTGGATGAAGATTCATGTCGACCCTTCCAATTAGTCTCTCTCTCTAGCTGCTCAATTCCATTGTCTGTTAGAGGAGACTGTACAGGCTGGCATGTGGGTGACATCACCTACTTTTATTACACATTTTCATCATCAGCTGGCTGTAACCTTTTCCAGACAGGTCATGAGTCAAATGCCATTTTTATCGCAGTTGTTGACTTGCATTCAAAATTTTATTCAACTACTATTAATGTCAATAAGTTTGATATCAAAGTGTAGATTATAATATAAATTTTAGTATTATACATTATTCAATTTCATAATTTAAAAGTAAATATAAAAACAGGTAAACATCGATTTTTGTGTGTCATGTGGTATGTTCAATGCAGCACTGGTTCAAATTAGATGTTCGTGATGTCAAAATACTAAGTCTATACTTTCGTGTGAATTAGAAACTCAAATTTCCAATATTGACAAGCTAGAATTAAAATAAGGTCTTATCTTTTCTATTTGCTAAGATATCGCAAACTGATGGCACAGTTGCCCCCCACCCACCTCTTTCCATTTTTGGAAATGCTCCCTTATATACACTTCTATATATGACATGAAAATCCAATCAAAATGTCCACCTAGTGGCTTTCTCAGCCATATTAAATTGTTAGGATGCCATCTCGTTCTTTCAAACCAAGATTTCAAGGAGGTAGGTTGTGTCTTTAGTCTGCTCAAAATTTCCCTTTTTTTTTTTTTTAAGAATAAAATTCAGCTTAGTTACTAAGCTTGATAAATTATAGTAGAATTCTGTGGTATTGATATAGTAATTTATGATTCTTTGGTTATTCAACTGTCTATATAAAAAACCTAAACAAAATTATTTTGTTTCATATCCTCCACCTGCGAAATTTTAAAAG